ATGCAGCAGAGGAACCAGCAGCAGGAACAGTCAGGTCAGGCACGGATCCCCAGAAAAAAAACTGGGGTGGGAGGGTGGGTGAAAAAAGAACCACCAGAATTCGCTTCTCTTAAGGGGAGTTCCCTGAGAGAAGGGCAGACAGCTTCGCCAGATCCTCACGGTTCCGCTGCAACATCACAAACATTTCGTTTGCACTAAAAATCTTGCCTGCAGGCTGGGGACTTGGTTGGTTCATTATGTTAGGATTTAGTAGGAACAGACCCAGGGCGCAGGCAGGTTCAAAAAAGGAACAAAAAGATTTATTAAATAACAGAAAATGCTGTTGAGGCAGCTCAAAAATCACTTACAGGTTCTCAAAAACCACAGGCACGAGGGAGACAAAGATCCGACACAAGACTGAGACAGGACAGGGCTTAAATACACTGACAACTAATGAATGAACAGAAAACACCTGGGGAGAAACAYGAGGGTGATCATCAAGGTAATGTGGGGCAGCTGAGCAGAGACACACAGGGGAACATAGAAACACTAGGAAAACCAAGGAAAATGATTACAGATTATGACAAGGAGGGGGTCTGGTTTGGGAACCACAGGGTCTCATCTCTGCTGTATGTAGATGATGTGGTTCTGTTGGCGATCTTCAGCATGCACTGGGGCGGTTTGCAGCCGAGTGTGAAGCAGTAGGGATGAAAGTCAGTTCCTGTAAGTCTGAGGTCATGGTTCTCGACCGGAAACGGATGGAATGGAAAGATGGAGATGTTCAACTATTGTTTGACAGTTTTTGCAGACTGGTGACCTCTGCCCATGTTTGTGTTTGAAATTCAGACTCTCCTCAATGCTCTTTTTAGAACCAGTCCTCTTATTAACCTGCTGTTAATTAACTTAGTAAGTTTCTCATCCAAACTCTTGTACATTTAAAACCTTTGGACGGTCCTGAACCAACTCTTTTGGACAGTGTTGCCATAAAATTTAAAATTACCTTATCAGATGATAATTATTAGTTRGGATACTCAGAGTTAAGACAGTGAAAGTTAAGATACTCAAAGTTGACATACTCAAAGTTAGGATACTCTAAGTTAGTATAGTACATGGAGATTAGACGATCAGAGTTAAGATGCTCAGAGTTAGGATACTCATAGTTAGGATACATAGAGATTAGATGATCAGAGTTAAGATACTCTGAGTTATGATACATGGAAATTAGATACTTAGAGTTAGGATACTCAGGATACTCTAAGTTAGTATTCATGGAGATTAGACGATCAGAGTTAAGATGCTCAGAGTTAGGATACTCAGAGATTAGATGATCAATGTTAAGATACTCAGAGTTAGGATACATGGAGATTAAATACTCAGAGTTATGATACTCAGAGTTAGGACACTCAAAGTTAGGATACTCTTAAGTTAGTATACATGGAGATTAGACGATCAGAGTTAAGATGCTCAGAGTTAGGATACTCAGAGTTAGGATACGTGGAGATTAGATACTCAGAGTTAGGATACTTAGAGTTAGGATACATGGAGTTTAGATACTCAGAGTTAGGATACTTAGAGTTAGGATACTCAAAGTTAGGATACTCTTAAACTAGTATACATGGAGATTAGACGATCAGAGTTAAGATGCTCAGAGTTAGGATACTCAGAGTTTGGATATATGGAGATTAGATACTCAGAGTTAGGATACTCAGAGTTAGGATACGTGGAGATTAGATACTCAGAGTTAGGATACTTAGAGTTAGGATATATGGAGATTAGATACTCAGAGTTAGGATACAGAGATTAGATACTCAGAGTTAAGATACTCAGAGATTAGATGATCAGTGTTAAGATACTCAGAGTTAGGATACACGGAGATTAAATACTCAGAGTTAGGATGTTTAGAGTTAGGATACTCAAAGTTATGATACTCAAAGTTAGTATACATGGAGATTAGACGATCAGAGTTAAGATGCTCAGAGTTAGGATACTCAGANAGGATACTCAAAGTTATGATACTCAAAGTTAGTATACATGGAGATTAGACGATCAGAGTTAAGATGCTCAGAGTTAGGATACTCAGAGTTAGGATACATGGAGATTAGATGATCAGAGTTAAGATACTTAGAGTTAGGATAYATGGAGTTTAGATACTCAGAGTTAGGATACTTAGAGTTAGGACACTCAAAGTTAGGATACTCTAAGTTAGTGTACATGGAGATTAGATGATCAGAGTTAAGATGCTCAGAGTTAGGATACTCAATACTCAGAGTTAGGATACATAGATTAGATGATCAGAGTTAAGATACTCAGAGTTAGGATACACAGAGATTAGATATTCAGAGTTAGTATACATGGAGATTAGATACTCGGAGTTAGGATAGTCTAAGTTAGTATACATGGAGATTAGATGATCAGAGTTAAGATACTTAGAGTTAGGATACATGGAGTTTATATACTCAGAGTTAGGATACTTAGAGTTAGGATACTCAAAGTTAGGAAACTCTAAGTTAGTATACTTGGAGATTAGATGATCAGAGTTAAGATGCTCAGAGTTAGGATACTCAGAGTTAGAATACATAGATTGGATAATCAGAGTTAAGATACTCAGAGTTAGGATACATGGCATTTAGATACTCAGAGTTATGATACAGAGATTAGATGATCAGAGTTAGGATACTTAGAGTTAGGATACTCAAAGTTAGGATACATGGAGATTAGATACTCAGAGTTAGGATACTTAGGATACATGGAGATTCGATACTTAGAGTTAAGATTGTCAAATATAATGTACTTAGAGGTGACTGAACTGACTGTAATCACCTGGTTTGGAACTGAAAACTCAGAGGAAGTTAACTCTGAGTAGACATTGTTTCATGGCGAACTCGTTCTGAGTGAATTATATTGAAGTTTAAATTAAAGTTAATATTGAACATAAAACTTCAACTCATGAACGTCTGGAGTCAATCCAATTCAAGGTGGTCACCACAGCCAGCTGAACTTAGAAAACACAAAACACTGCGATCATTCAGTCACTTTCACAGGTTTTTGAGCTAAACGTTGATGTGACAGTAGCTGAGAGTCATTCCCAACACATCCTCTGAGGTCTACACACACACTATTTTAAATTAAAAGGTGACCACAGGTCAATGCTCTGCTACATCTCATCTTCAGATTACCTGTTTATGATAGTGATTCAGTTTCATTTTGTTTTTTAAGTTGATGTAACATTAAAATGTCAAATTCAATGATATAATATCCTTACATAAGGCCTAAAAAAAGCAACTGTTCTGTTTGTTGTGAGACTGAATGCTGCGTCAGACACTTTTCTTGAAAACTGCTGTGTAGCACCATGACTCTGCCTCTGACTTGGGACTGGACTCTAGCAACAAGCACAGAGAGCGTTAATCTGGGTCAGATCTAAAACGTTTTGTGCTGTGTTAAAATTGGAAATGGGCCTGACGTTTGTTTGGGTAGCAACTTGTTTATACATTTATAAAGTATATATAGTATAGCTTTTAATTAATAATTTCACATTTTTGTTTCGATTGTAACCCAACAAACACTGGTTTGGAATATGTATCATATTTCCTGTTTGACTGCAACTCTGTTGTATTTGTAAAACATTGTGTTATCTTTACCATTTAAATGTGTGTGTTGTGTGTGTTTACCCTGAGATGCTGTCTGTGTGCTGCTGGCTCGCTCTCAGCCAGTTTCAAAGTGCTCTCAGCATCATTCAGCCACTCCTCCAGAGCTCTGTGATCTGAAACAAACTTCTGCCACTTGGAGCTGCAGTCCTGCCAACGCCTTCACAGACAGAGCAGAGCAGATGGGAAATTATACTTGCTAATTACACACACACACACACACACACACACACACACACACACACACACACAC